GTGGTCAGCCTAGATTGCCAAACCCTTTAGAGAATGGGCGGAGTCGGCTGTCGCGGATGCGACGGTCGCCGTTGGGCGCACCTCGCGCCCCGGCCCATCCGCGCTCGGTTCCCACGGCGTGCGCTTCACGTGCGCCGTGGTTCCGCCCCTGCGGTCGTGGTCAGTATAGTACGTCCCGTGGCTGGCAGCCGGTGCCGGTTGGTTGGTTTTCACCGGGTAACGCCAGGACAGCGCCGAAGGCGGAGGGGTGAATTCCGCTCCGAAGCCGGAGGCAGCCCGAGCGCCGGCCATGAGCCGGCCGATGTCCATCCCCTGCTCCCCGACTGGGAGCAGCCTCTACTCCAGCCCCGACAAGGACATCGACGACCGCATGGAGCGATGAGGGCTACCGCCGGCAGGATGGGGGCCTAATACGTATGAGGGGATGTAGCCTACGGCCTATTGCGTACTCAGAGGGGCAACGGCCACGGGGGCCTATTGCGTGGTCAGCTATGGAACGAAGCCCATGGAGAACGGCGGCCAGGGGAGAACAATAATTGTAGTGCGGTGAGTAGTTCGTTCATAAATAAATCAATAAATATTAAATATAAATAAATATAAGTAATGTAGATTATTTAATGTTCTTTGTTATCATAATGGTTTCTACCACGGATGCTTACCTGTGTTTCTATGTGTTGGGTTGTTACCATGGTGGTACCATGGTGGTTGGTATACGGGGGTAGGGCCACGGCCTCGTGCGGCGCGGTACGGTGGAGACGCCGTGGACGGTAGGGGGTCGGTAAGGTGCCCGCCGTAGAAAAACCCCATGGTCCCCGGGGGTTAGGTCCACCCTCCTGCGCGGGTGCGCAGGAAGGGTGTGGTAGAGGGATGGGACGGCGTTAGCGCGGTCACCACCGATGTCGATCGTGACAGTAGGGTGCCAGGGGACCGCGACATCGGCCGTGCGTCAATGCCCGGTCGTTTCCAGTCAAAGTGTTTGTGAGTAACAAAACAATATTTGAGAATCTATGTCCGCGCTGACAAGTGGGCGTG